GTACAACGGGCATAGGATCAAGTCCTAAATGAAAAAAATTCTTTCGTTCAAATTCTAGTTGGAGAAGACACCTCCAAAAATGGCAAACTCTGAATTCTGTGCTCCCTGTCTCATAATGCAAGAACAAAGGGACATTCAATCAAATTAGAAGGTGACAAATTCAAAACTGATCCAAGAAATGCTTTTTCACACATCATGTAATTATAATGTGAAACTCATTGCCACTGGATGTTGCTGAGACCAAGCACTTAGCAAATCTCAAAAGTGATCGGATATTTATATGAATGGCAGGAATATGCAGAGTGATATTAAACCTCATGGTTCATTGCTTCAGCCAGTCACTAACTGTTAGAGAGCAGGATGAGAATGTGGGAGGCAGATTATCTTACACCTTCCTCTGAAGCATCTGGCACTGTCCACCTTTGGAGACAGAATACTGATCAGATGGACTCAAGTCCGAGCCAGTCCGGCATTTCCTGTGTTCCAAACGCCAACTCCAAAAGATTAAAGATGGAACCAGCCTTTAATTATGGAAATAGCTAAGATTGAAGTTGAATTTCACTTTAAAGCCTCATTTTGCCACTCTTCCTACACACCACAAAAAGGGAAAATATTGGCCTTAAAACTGACACATGAGGTCTGAGGCTGTGGTGATTTTCTCTGCCAGAACTGACGTTAGATAGGAGCTGTTCGTTACTCATGGTAGCCTGAAAGTGTAAGCAGTCGTTAGAATTGCAAAAACCTTCTAATGATTTTATTTTTGAAAAAATGCCTCTAACTAGGAAATTTTAAAAAACGGCGAGACATAAAATGTAGCATCCTGGACTTCTCTAGCTGATATCTAGGGTCAAATTCTCTGTTGCAGCCAGTATCTGCTGTGGGCAGCATTCTTCACTCCTCAGATTTCCTGCATTGATCCTAGGGCTTAGGACGGTGAATGGCCCTGTGTCACTCTGTACCCCACACCCATTGTTCTCACCCAGACCCACCTTCCTGTGGCTGTCAAGAAGCCCACAGGACGGGTCTTCAGAATGTTTGTGGGCGAGTGGGGAGAGAGTTTACAGCCTGGGGGCAGCACAGCCTGGGGGCATCCCTCCCTCTGCACCCACTGGAGTCTGCAGGAGGGGATCTTCCCCACACCTGTGAGTGTTAGGAAGATCCTTGTTCAACACATCGCAACACTGAGCCCTCTGATTCCATGTGCCAGGTGGTTATCGAAATGTTGTTACACAAAGAGCCTGTGTGCCCCCAGTACAAACTTCCTGGGCCCAGATCCTGCAGTCCGAGCACTTCTCCAAAAGAGCAAAGGCAGCACATGTAATGTTTTGTTTGCATTAATAAATAACAAATCATTTCTCTTTGAACCTCAAACTGTGAAGACAAAGCGAGTCCCCTCCAGAGCAGGTGGGATCCTTAGTGTGAGAGATGGGACTGAATTTCCTTTTATCTTTCTCCTCTAGGACATCAAAGGCACCTTGAGCAGGTAGGTGACTCCTTCTCACTCTCCCTTTCACTCCCCAATGCAGGGAAGGGGTTTTGGACATGAGACCTGGCTCCCCATGGTCCAGCAGTGCAGAGTGTGGGGCTGGTTCCCAGTCTCCCTCTGAGCTGTTTATTAATTGTTTCTTATTATGCAGTGAGCTCTATCCGTGTGCTGGGTGTGGCAAGAGATATGCTGGAAGAGACATTCCCGGCTCTAAGGAGTTTATAATGGGCTATTATCAGTAGCACTATGGCAGTGCCTAGAGGCTCAAGGCAAAACCAGGGCCCAACATGCTGGGTGCTGCACAGACACAGACAGAGACAGTCCCTGCCCCAGGGCGTTTACAGTCTAAAGAGACACAAGAGACAAAGGGCAGAGGGAGGAAGGATTAAAATCGATTGAAGGGGACATTCAATAAAGACAAAGTGCTGCACTTTGGAAGGAAAAATCAAATGTACAACTATGAAATTGGGAATAACTGGCTAGGCAGCAGGACTGCGGAAAAAGATCTGGGGGTTCAAGTGGATCACCAACAGAGTTGGTGTCTATGTATCACAGGTCCTTCAGTTTTACCCCGTTATTCATGTATTCACCCCAATAACTCGTACTTGACTAAATCCTAACGTGCGTTGACTAAAGCACTTTCCAGAAAGCCAGTCAGTCTAGATTTAAACACATCAACAGACAGTAACGCTTGAAGCTCCCTAGAAGTGTGGGGGGGCAGCGGTGCCCAAACCATGGGCCCAGCCCTGCTCCGCCTCTTCCCCCGAGACCCCGCCCTCTGCTTGCTCCTCTCCACCCCTCCCCCCATCACTTGCCTTTAAGGCAGGTACAAAGGGAGAGAGCAGAGCTCTCCCACTTTTAAAAGTGATGGGGCCACGGCCCCTGTGTTCTGGAACCCCTGTCCAGAGATGGAGAATCCACCACTTCCCTTGGCAGTTTCTTCCAATGGTTAATCCACCCGCACTGTTAACAATGTCTGTCTGATTTCCCATTGGAATTTCTCTGGCTTCAGCTTCCAGCAATTGTTTTTTGTTGTGCCTTTGTTTGCTAAACTGAGGAGCCCTTTAGTACCAAGTCTGTTCTCCCCGTGACGGTATTTATACCCCACACTCAAGTGCCAGGGTTCTCTCAGTGCAAGGCATTTTTACCAGCCCTCAAATCAGTTTTGTGGGTCTTCTCTGCACAATCTCCACTTTCTCAACCTCCGTTATAAAATGGGGACACCAGAACTGGAGGCAGTTTTCCAATATCGGTCTCACCAAAATGAAGGGGAAGCTTGTAGTGTCACAGCTGGGATTGGACCTATTCCTGGGGCAATAGAGACTTTAATCCTCCAGGGTCTGCTGAGCTACAACCATTCACTGGAGTAAAACACATGTTAGTAAAACACAAACATGAACGAACTCCACAACGAGTAACACTGGGTTGTTCTTCAGATGCGAGAGGGAGACGTTTCAGAACCCAGTGGCCTTTTCTTCTGACCTGAAATGGAGAATCTGGGAATCTTCTCAAAGAAATGCACCTCTGGAGACCATAATGAAGAAATTCAAAGGTAATAAACAGTCACCTGGGGAATTTTCTCACATATGTTACACTGATAATTGACAGAGCTGGGGAAATCTCTTAGGGACAATAATTGTGGATGGAGACAGTCAACTAATCATTTGGAACCTATGAATTCCCTCCTCAGCTCTGAATACAGCACATACACACTGGGTTTGGGGCCTACATTCGGGGTGGGGCAGGATGTGGAGAGGGGTAAGGGGGCTGAGGCTGGAACCACATCTGGGGGTGGGAGCAGAGCCCCGGGTGCAGGGCCAGCAGACGGGACCCTGCGTGCGGTACCAGGGGCAGAACCCCAGGCAGGGGTCCAACAGCCAGCTGGGACGCTGGGCATGGGGCCGTGGCTGGGACCCCACACAAAACCTGGGGGGTGCTTCAGCACCCTCCGCACTCCTAGTTCCCGCGGCTCTGCGCAGAGACTCGGGGCTTCCCACCTGCAGCGGGAAGAGTCGGCACTTGCGGCTCCAGCCCCGTGGCGGGGGAGGGGACCGGGGGGGCTGCGGGCCGGATGAAATTTAGCAACAGGCCGGATCTAGCCCGTGAGCCGTAGGTTCCCCACCCCTGCTTTAGAGATTCTCCACCTTTTATCCTCCTGAGCTGGAGAGAATGAGACCCCCCGGGCTGTCAGGAAGGATGAGCCAGTTTACTGAATACTAATGGTACAGGGGAAGATTTAAAGTTGATCGAATGCTAATCAGTGAGAAAGTGTCTGTGTATTGGTCTGTCTGTGAGTGATGTGTTGGTTTCAGAGGGTTTCTCTACACCGCAATTAAACACCTGTGGCCTCCTGTGTCCCCTGACTCCAGCTCATGAGGTTCGGGCTCGGGCTGGAACCTCAGCTCTGTGACCCTCTCCCGTCCCAGGGTCCCAGAGCCCAGGTCTCTGCCCAAGCCCCAGCATCTACACCGCAATTAAACAGCCCCATTGCCCCAGCCCTGTGAGCCCAAGTCAGCTGTCATGGGCCAGCCACAGGTGTTGAATTGCTGGTAAAACATCTCTGGGTCTGTCGTGTAACCTTAGGTCATGTCCTTAGTTTTTAATGTTTGTGGTTAGTTTTTAGTGATGTGTGTAATGGTTTGTATTGATCTGAATTGCACTTAACCTCCTTAACTAGAACTGCATAAAGTTTGTTTTGTTTTCATTTTGCTTTTGTGTTAGAACATTAACAATGTGAATATATCCCTAAACATGACAACCTGACATTTCATCTTTTTCACCCTTTTCTTCCTCTAGACTCACTGTCATCTAAACCTCAGTGGGACAAAGGTAAATTTCTGGGATCAAAGGGGGAGTGAAAAGTTTCATATGAATTATGGTGGCTCATTGGCAGCACCATAGTTCAGGTTTTGTTTCAAGTTTGCATTTGACAGGAGCTGAGCAACATATTACTGGTGGCTGCCCAGATCTTCCCTAAAAACAGAAAAGTCGATTCTTTTCTCTTTTAGAATTTAGAATTTGTAACTAGTGGTTGGGTTAAGCAGATGGGCTGGGGTGCGGGAGAGGGGGCAAGCAGTGTATCTCCGTAGAGATCTAAGAGTTTAAAAATGAGCCTTTTGGAAAATCAGAGGTGAGAGGAACATCTCACCTCATTTTCAGAACTCTTTATGCCCATACATCACATCCCCTGGCAATATGATTATTATTAGCAAATGCACAAGTGGTACAAT